AAGAACATGTAATGCCATAAAGTTTTGATCTCTCTTCTTTCCCAAAAAAGAATAAAATAGCATATTAATTATTAGATATGTTTTTTGAGATTTATATATTCTTATAATTTAAAATCTTTTTTTTATATAAAGTATGCGAGACAATGGTATAAAATTTAGGGTGTATGAGATTCTCTCCTTTTACTTCAATTAACTATTTCTTTTATTTATGGCAAAGAATTATTTCTTTTCTTTTTATATTTAATTATATTTTATTTATGTGCTTTGCTTTAGATAATCTAAATTAACGTATGTCTATTATCACTCTTTACACGTAGTTAGATTTTAATTTTTATCAGAGAATCCAAAGGCGTGGGCCTTTTCATGCGTTGAACATCTTTTGACTTCTATCTAATTAGGTGATAGGCAATTAGATTTAGGCCATGCGTTTGTTTTTTATTATTGACGATTGTCGGATAATAATTTACACAAAGCTTCAATTTGCACTTTATTAATTACCGTCATCTTTGGAGTCAAATCACCACAACATTTTTGTCTTATTAATTCAATTCTAAATCAATATTCTACATGCAACACAAACTGAGTATTTCGTTCTAGCATATATTTATGTACACTCTATATTAGATTCCTTCAAAATTTCATATTTGTGTTAGAATATATGATACTAATATGCGTGATTTCTTGAGAATGCATATAATTACATGTATTTTTTAAAATCAAAAAATTGGATTAATTTTTTTGATAAATATTTATAAGAAATTATACTATTTATAAGTCATAAATTACCATTTTTTCAACAACATCATAAATTAACTCGACTCACATCTCAAATTATATTGAGAAACATCAACATATATAATCTCTTTCCTTTTTTTTACCACCCAAAAGTAGAAGTTAATTATTAAACGTATCATTTTACACGTTTTGATAGATAATAAAATACGAGTATACACCACATATCATGGACATGTGACACATGGAAATAATATGATATTCGAATACACATAAATATATCATAAATGATATATAATAAAATATACGGTTGAAAGTATAATAATCATATTTGTAATTGCAAATCAAATTATAAAGCTTCTCTACTTGAAATGGTGACCAAATAGACCATTATGAGGTGGAGAATATTGTGCATAGTAAGAATATGTACACGTGTTAATCAACGCACATTTATTCTTAATTCGTCCTTTCATGTTCATTTCCAACTAGGCCGAAAATTCCACGATTCTATGGGTATATGTAATAGTGATACGAGTATATTAGTTACCTAGCCTGTCCTTATTACCAATTAATTAAACACGTCCATTATTTAATTTCTTCACTTACAGACTGACACCTAGGTTTTTCTCGCTATAGTTGAGTTGATTGATCACAAATATAATAAAATATTCTCTTAATTTATTAGTTTATTAACACGTAGCAACTAGTATTTGTCCAATTAGTTAGCATTTATAAAAATTAGTTAGGCACAAAAATTATATCATATTTGGTAAGGACTTGTGTTTAAGTCTTCTTGCTAAAGTATATTGTGAGAATTTCATGATGATTATAATATGTTAAAAAATTGTAAAATTAACTTTTAGTCGTATGACTTGTTTTAGATTTATTGAATTTTTTTAAAATTAAAAAAGTATTAATATAAATTAAGTTTCATTTTCAAAAAAGGAATAAATTAAATAGTAATTTTTCCATAATTAGAACAAAAAGAATACAAAGACACCGATATGATCTTACCCATTCATTTATGCTCCCCTTTTGTAATATAATTCTTTTTAAAAAAATAAAACAATTATTTTTTCAAGTACTTTAAAAAACTCATTAGAATATCTTATTATACCCTCATTTATAATTTCATTGACTTTGGATTTAGACTTCAACCAAAGGAAGACAATAATGGGGGATAAAAACTTGTACCATTTATAAGCATACTTATTTCTTTATTATTTTTTTGTGTGTCAAGCAATCTAATTTTTAAGAATATATTAAATTTTGACTAATTTGAATTTGAGTTGAATTGGGTCTTAAATAAAAATAACTCTTTCACATGTATCTTTTTTTTTTCTTTCACACAAACTTGATGAATTTAAAATTCCATACGTAAATAGATATAGCTCTTTTCATTTGGATTAATTATAGAATGAATTAAAGAAGAATTTTAAAAATGAAAAAACTGGAAAAACAAAGGAAAACAGACGACCTGAATTGGAGCACCAATACCTTTTGTATATAAAATCCTACAAAAATACAGATACTTACCATGTATACAAACATATCAAGTCTTTCTAATCAATAAATTTTTAAATAAAAACTTTTCTGCTTTATTAGTTTACTTTAAATTGAGGAGAAAATAAATGAAAACGGGGTCCGACAGCCTAAAAAGAGTTTAGAAAGAAAGAATACAACTTTGAAGGATGGTGACAGCTTTGTGCAAACCCAAAAGCATTTTTAGGGGAAAGAGGACACAAAATCTGAGCCACTATCTCTATCACTATCCCTCAGATGAATCAGTACTTGACACCTATAAAGCTCTTCTGCCCAACCCTGCTTTATTTTCCTCCACCTTTTTTCACCGGGAAAAATAAAAAGTCAGTCATACTCCCTAAATTTTAAAATCAAAAAAATAATTTCTCCTTTTTTTAAAAAACAGTGAAAGAATTTGATGGGTGGCTTATCTTCTGGGGATTTTTCTTTGGGGATTGTTTGTTGATTCTCTATTACCTATTTATATACAATTGAGTTTTTATGCGATTCGGTGTCCAGTGTCCTATTTTCGATCGTTTAATAAATTGTAATTAATTATAAGATAGTATATTGATTACATTGACTTATTTTTCAAAAGCGCTATATAAATAGAAGTATGTATCTTTATTTTCTTGTTTGGACTAAAATTTCTAATTCTCTTGATTACCGCAGAGATTTATTCGTTTTTTTTAACTAAATCATAATGGAAATATATATCTTTATATAAAGAAGTTATCTCCCCTCATCCGTAGTATGAAAACTAGTTAGAAGATTATATTTGAACTTAAATATAAAATTTAAATCTATTTAGTCTTTCATATTTTTAAGTGTGTGCGCTGTCACAGATTTTAGAGATTGCATTTTTTCTGCTGGGATATAAAAAAGGGTGTGAATTTTGGACTTCTACTTAATTACATCCCACTTCATTTTTATAAATTTATAATTCGAGCTACCTTCAAGTAGCTAGAATATGGGGGGGGGGGATTAGGAATGGAAATGTGGGAGAAAATTTTTTAAAAAATGATTTAAATATATTGAGCTTTCATCTCGCTTTCATTCCGATTTGTAAAGAAAAAAGTTAGACATAAGGATATGAAAAAAATAAAGGTGACAACCTTGTTTAATTTGTTGAATTTGAATTCTCTTCTCAAAGCAACACAATCACTTTTTAATGTTAACATCTAACAACTAAACAATCAGAACATGCCGCATGCCTCTTTTAAAAATTAATCTGACTCAAATTTGCAATTTGAAGTTAATTTTGGGTCACTATATGTATTTAAGAATATATACCCAATTATATAAATGATGAACAATAATATTAAACCAAAGGATCGGATAACAAAATAGGGTTAATACTATCTTTAACCCTTAAAATTTGACTTCATTTTTATTTAGGTTCCTGAATTTTAAAACTAATAGTTTTGGTTCTTAAAATAAAGTTGCAGGAACAAAAAATATTGTTTTAGGGACCAAAAATAACTTTTAAGTGAATCAAAACGAGGTTAAACTTAAAAGACTAAAAATAATATTAATTCTAACTAATAATATATGCACATGTCCTCAACATTTTTCTTTTGTAATTGACATGTTTCATTTTCAAACATGATACGTAGTCCTTATTACAAAGAGATCCATCATGGCAATAAAAGAAAAAAAATCTACAGATCGATGAAGCACATGCCATTAATTAAAAGGCTTAACAGTAGAGTCAAAAATACTCCAATAATAATAATATGTAGACCACAAGGTGGGATATATATTTATATATATTAAAAATTAAAAATAGTTGGGGGAGACACATACTTTGAGGACAAGTGGAGATAACATGAGACGATGATATAAGGGTCCCCCAGTTGGTTTTGATTGTTGCTACCATATATTTATTTATTTATTGAAATTATTTAATTATCTTTTTATATAAAGCTTTAAAATCGTCGATCCTTTTCCTCTGTACAGCAAACGACAAGGAATCTCTCAAATCCCCATTTACATGTGGCTTAGTTAATTGCAATTCTCACACATCACCCCTTGAACCCCAACATATGACCCTATTCAGATGTCATCCACCAACAGCAACGCAACTATGATTAATGATTTCATTAATTTAACATTAAATTAATCATGGTATATTACACATATGCCTGTATTTATCACAAACTGTAATTGTACAGTAGTTTGCATATATACCTAGATTATCACTCGTTCCTACATATAAGTCACTTAACAAAGAAATGTTTGGTGCTAAATATATAAGAGAAGTGATTTACCATAGGATCAAGTGGTATGTACTTAAAAAAAGGGGTTAAGGTTAAAATTTATTTAGAAAGTTTTCACTGAGAAGCGCTGAGTGTTTGGAAATTCTTTTTAGTGCAAATTTATTTTGAAAGTTTAAAATTATAGCAATATTACCCCTTACTATTAAAAAACCAACATAGTAACGACATTGACTGTTAATATTTTTAACAGTTGAAAGGCAATATTGCTACAATTTTAAACTTTCAGGATAAATTTATAAAAAAAAAAAAAAGAATTCGATTGAGAGATCTCCCGGGCTAATTTAAGTTGCACTTTAGCCCCAAGAAAAACTAATTAAGGTGAGAGTGTGTTGATAACAATTATGGGAGTGGTCACAAACAGTAATTAAACAAAAGACGTGGTCGGAGGTGGTGGTTGCGTTGGATGTTAAAACTATATATATTTACATATTTATGTTGTTCTTATCGATCACTCTCACCGTGTGTGCTTCTCGTGCTTCCTTCTCACTTTGTATGTATGTCCCTCCATCTCTCTCTCGTCTGATTTTCTCTTCTTCTTCTCTCTCTCTATATCAGCCATATCCTCTCTAGTCTTTGTATTATTATACTTAATTGTGAGATTCAAACATTGATCATCGTACATATATTATATAATCGGAGTCTTTGTTAGTTTTCTCTGAGATGATGCCCCCTCATGAGCAAGAAACTAGCACAGTTGCTACTGTCATGCCCAACATGCAGATGCAGACGGTCGTGAACCGGCCGGAGGACAGTTCGGTTCATGCCGAGCCACAAGGTTCGGTCAGTCACGGCGGAGAAACTGGTCTGGATGTCTCCGTCCATGATCACCACCCAACAATTCCAAGAGTCTCAGCTCTGCACCAATCCATGCGTCCCGTTACCCTCAAAGTAGGCATAAATATATAACACAGTTTCTGATTACAAAAACATATCTGAATTAGGTTTAAGCTGTAATTATTCGATGATCATGTTAATGCTTCCTTTGATTTTTCTAACGTTGGAATATGTTTTCTTGGGATGTCATCTATATGCAGTTTGAAGACTTCTCTTACAGTGTAACGATCGAAAGCAAGAAGAATGCTTGTCCCTGTGTTTCTTCTCAGAAGACGAAGCCGACAAGGACGATACTCAACGGCGTGACGGGGATTGTCCGGCCGGGAGAGCTTATGGCAATGCTGGGTCCGTCCGGCAGCGGGAAGACCACGCTGCTCACTGCCCTCGCCGGCAGGCTCTCCGGGAAAGTCTCCAGCTCTATAACATACAATGGCCAACCATTCTCTAGCTCCATGAAGCGAAGAACCGGGTTCGTCACACAAGACGACGTTCTCTATCCTCACCTCACCGTCCTTGAGACCCTCACTTTTGCTGCTTTGCTGCGACTTCCCAAGAGTCTCACTAGAAAGGAGAAAATGGAGCAGGCTGAGACCGTCATGGAGGAGCTCGGCCTAACGAGGTGCCGTAACAGCCCCATCGGCGGCGGAGCCAGCTTGGCTCGGGGCATTTCCGGCGGAGAACGAAAGCGGGTCAGTATTGGGCAGGAGATGCTGGTGAACCCGAGCCTACTGTTGCTGGACGAGCCGACCTCAGGGCTTGACTCAACGACAGCCCAACGCATCGTCGTGTTGCTCCGGGGGCTGGCGCGCGGTGGCCGGACGGTGGTGACGACGATTCATTAGTCTATTTCTTTGACATGTGAGTTCCTTTAATTTCCTATATATTCAGCTGTATGAGGGACACATTTATGTAATAAATGTCAAACTTTTTCCAAAAGGTCTTATTCACATGATCACCACCAAAAGTTTGGAATTGGTTAGAGTTTCTTTAGTTCGATAATTTTGATGAATATAATTTTTTTTATATGTACTCATATTTAATAAGAGCAGTAAGAGATAATAAAAATTATCATGATTTTGAGGTTGTGTTCTTAATAAGGAGAATATTGAAAATCATTTGAATTTTATAATAAATTGAATGCTTTTAACTGTTTTTACTTGTATGAAAGCTAGAAGTGACTTACATTTAAGAGCAGAGTGGTATTTTGTTTAATTGCTTTCTTTTTTTTTCAAGAGTATGTTTACTGTATAAAAGTTGCTATTTTTTTTTTACCAGCAATATAAAAGTTGCTATTGAAAGTTTAGAACATGAGCCCTATATTAAATGAATGAAATTTAAAAGCTTATATGATCATTATAATTTCTAACCTAACGAAGCACTCTAATTGCTGCTATTCTATGAAAATGCGTGCAGGCGTAGTTGCTGATGTTAACAGGATGATCAAACTGGTTTTCATGGAGCATTAGACCAACACGAGGATCAAGTTTCAGTCAAACAGTCCCTAGTTTCATCCTACAAGAAGATTTTATATCAGCAAAAGTAATGGAGACCTGGCTGCTCTCACATCAGGAACGCGAAGAAGTAAGTCAGATTCTTACTTTCTTGGTCTCGTGTTAAGCAAAATATGCAATTTACCCCATGAACTCAATTACGCATTAAATTATAACTAGACTTATTTTAGGAGGATAAAATGTATTTTTAACTTTCATTATATGATAGATATATAGCAGTACTGAAAATAGCTTATATAGTAACGTATTTATATGATACTTAAGTGGGTGTTTGGGTAACTCTCAAAAAGTACTTTTTGGCACAAACCAAGGTTTCAGAAGCAGAGTAGCCAAACGCCCATGCAAAACCCAAAAGAGACTTTTAGCCTCAAAGCCTTGGTTTTGGTATAAGCTGGGGAGAATAACTTTCAACCCCAAAACCATAGTTTTCTTCAGAATCCAATCCAAACACATAATTGAGTGTGGTTTTGCAGGTTCAGAGAATCAATGGAACACGAGCTGGTGGGAGCAGTTCAGGGTGCTTCTGAAGAGAGGTTTAAAAGAGAGGAGGCATGAATCTTATTCAGGCTTAAGGATTTTCCAAGTGCTGTCTGTGGCTTTTCTCTCTGGACTTCTTTGGTGGCATTCTGATCCCTCAAACATACAAGATCAGGTATTATTACATCAGCAAGTTTATAAAACTTAGCGCCGCTTTTTAATAACTTGTAAGTAACAGTATTTATTTACACTTGTAACAGGTGGGCCTGCTCTTCTTCTTCTCAATCTTCTGGGGATTCTTCCCTCTGTTTAATGCAATATTAGCATTCCCTTTGGAGAGACCCATGCTATCAAAAGAGAGATCATCAGGAATGTACCATCTCTCTTCTTACTACATAGCCAGAATGGTTGGAGACTTGCCAATGGAGTTAGTTCTTCCCACTATCTTCCTAACCATCACATATTGGATGGGAGGCCTCAAGCCTTCAATTCTCACATTTGTGTCAACCCTCTTGATCATCCTCTTCAATGTCCTTGTGTCCCAAGGCATAGGCCTTGCCCTTGGGGCAATCCTAATGGATGTGAAACAAGCCACAACTCTGGCTTCTGTTACCATGCTTGTGTTTTTGTTAGCTGGTGGATATTACATTCAGAAAATGCCTTCATTCATAGCTTGGCTTAAGTACTTCTCATTCAGTCACTATTGCTATGAGCTTTTGGTGGGAATTCAGTATTCAAAAGACCAAGTTTATGACTGTGGCCAAGGCTGCATTGTAGGGTAGTGGATTTTCCTGCCATCAAGTGCTTGGATATTGCTAATTTGTGGGGAGATGTGGCTGCATTGGCTGTTATGTTTGTTGGATACAGAATTGTGGCTTATTTAGCTTTGAGGATGAGACAGCCTGTCTGACTAAAATAATTAGGCTCCATTTTAGAGGGCAGAGTGCGGGGCTTTAATATTTTTTGTCATTTCAATTAGATGCCAAGTTCAGGTGTTCATTTGATTCAATTGTTTTATGACATATATCTTAATTATATCTTTCTCACTGATTAGTAATTATATCTTTCTCACTGATTAGTTTTTGTGCGAAAATATGAACTTTTCTCGCGAATAACACAGAATTTATTTGGGGGAAAAAAAAAAAAAGAGGAGGAGCTTGGAGCTCTTATAAGTGGAGGGTTTTCTCTCTCTCTCTCTAAAAAATTTTGTGAAATGTCAAAATAAATAAAAGTTATTCTTATATCTATTAAACCTTTTACCAAATTCATAGGTATTTAAAAAATTGGCTAAAGCTAGGCATGTTCTTAAATCTGTCTAAAATTAACAAGTTTATAATATTATTGTATTGTCCCTAATGTTTATTAAATTATTTGTTTGCTATCTTGATGTCTCTGCACTGAATTGGTATAGGGGGAGGAGAAAGTCAAGGCAACAAAAGGCATCAAGGGAAAAACATAATAAACGCTTGAAACAAATTAGAGATTTTCTCATAACAAGGACCAAGCAATTCTTCAATAATTCAGACAAATATATACAAAATTCAAGTGAGTCCACAAACCTCTAACATTTTTTTTTCCCTATATCATAACCACACAGCAAAGCCAGTAAGCCACTAAGTGTGGCCTAATAACGAAAATGTAGGTAGATAGATAAATACAGATTAGACTAAACACATAAAAATTTGAAACGTGCTACAAGGCTGGGAAGATTTGCTCTAATATGATGTGAACTTTGAATTAGAGAAGTATTCCTAGTGTTAAATAGACCACTATTGGTTTATGTACAACTCTTGGTTAGCTATGGAGTAGCATCCAATGAGATTGGTGGGTGTTATGATAAACTGTTCATGAAATGTACCCATTCGCCTGCTAGAAACATCAATTCCAAGATCCTTAAAGCTTGGCAACCCCTCTACTTGAATGCCATCTCCACATATCAGGAATTGATTACCAATAATAAAGGATCCTGATACCCTAATTGCAACTCCATCCTCACCGTGGGCACGGCATTGAAGCTTTTCAACGACATGCACCAGCTTGTCAGGAGGCCAGTCACCAACTAATGTACTTCGGATACTCGACAGTTTTGCAAAAATATTGTTTGGACCAACGTATTGCTTCCCAGAGAAACTGCAATACGTAGAAGATAACATTGATGACATAGAAAGCTTTAAAAAATATATAACTAACTAGACATGTTTTCTGTACAATGCACGAAGTTTGAGGTGAGATACTGCTCATAACTCATAAATAGTACAGCTTCTCATAAATTTTAACATTTTGTGTTAACTGAGAATATCCATTGGGTCTTTGACCAGATCCTAACTAAGCAAGATCAAGCATGTCGTCATGGAAATTCCGAATGATACTTAAAGTCATTAGTGTTGATTAGATTGTATGGCCCATGCTTTGCACAGAATTTGAGTTACACCGTCCATGGCTTATGACTAATGCAAGATTTATATAGATATAGATGGAGTTCATTTTCAACCATATATGCTGTCCTAAGTATTATTTCTGTCATCCAGCTCAAATAAGTTTCGTGGAGGAGATTTAATTCAATTATTGTCAAATCCAAACAAGTGCTTGTTACATAATCAAGACATTAGATGCAGACCAGACCTGAAAATTGAACCTTCATTGTATAAGCTCCTAGTATGAAGCCAGAGATCATCGGGTCCATCAAACAGTAAGTAATAATGAATCGTGAACATCTGTGAAGATGGGAAGGTAAAACGCTCATTCAGTAAGCATATATTTTTTTGTGAACCAAAACACTAAGCATAGATTTGAATCTCTCAAAATTCTCATAAAGCATCCACCCAATTTTGGGGTCTATTCATCCTTTGAATGGAGGAATAGTTTTCATAGTAAATAACGAGCTGTGAAGGTGAACACGAGCTTCTCATATTATTTCGTCAACGTTTACTCCAATTAAGCTTTAAAGCAGGTGAAAAATGGCAGCTACTTACATCAGCCAAGTCCTTCATTCGTTGTGTTGGATCAAAGACACTTCGTACAAATCCTGCTAAATCTACGTTGGCATTCTCATACTTTGTGATAAAGGGGTGCCGAAGCAACTGCAGTTGAAGCACTAATTGATCAAGTTCTGATCATCATGACTGTATTTAATGGCGCTCTCTATGACAGGACTGACATGGTAAGTTGCACGAAGCACTAAGAATAGACATGTACTATAAGACATGCTACACCTTCTATTAGGCAAGAACATGAAAGAACATTATAAGTAAATAAATCACATGAAATAAATGAGTAGAAAAGTATGGAGACAAATCACTAAGGTCATGGAATCCCAAGCCATAGACACCAGACATTGATTAATACAGAATAAGGCATCAACATTTTTCTAACCTCATCTGCTGTTGGCCTGGCATCTGGGTCCTTCTGCAAGCAAGCACCAACAAATGAGTTGAATTCAGGTGAAAACTTGTGATTTGACGGTGATGGTGATGGATCATCTAGAATCTGCCATAAAACAATTATAATTATTAGCAAAACACAGGAAGCTCATGTGCACGCATCACTCGAATGAAATTGATAGTTATTGATAATAATCTGAGGCAGGGATCAAACGTTCATATGTATTAATCAAATCCAGTGTTATAAGTTGGCGATTCCATTAAATTACAGCTTTTACAGGTAAAGATCTCTGACTAACAAGTGAAAAATCTCTCAACAATGGCTGGTCCATTAATTTATCAAAAGAGAAGAAGAGGAGTAAAAAGGTTTTCTATCATGGCATCATATGGTAGAGAGGTTATCCAGTCCATAAATTTTCCTGCTTGTGTTTTAAGGCCACTCACGACTCCTTTTGTGTTCTTTGCTTACGTCTGATGATTTATTGGATTCTGTCACATGCCACTTTTGAGCCACAGGAACCTTTTCTTATCATTTGCACAAAGAAAAAGTTCTTCAATCGGCACTCCTTCTATGCAGGATCTTCCTCCACTATTGCACAAGACATTTTGATGATGCTAAACTCTTTTCCAAATTGTTCTTCTAATAGCAACTTTGTTAGGAACCTTTTTTTATTTTCTATTTCTAGTTATTCTGATGTAGTACTTTAAACTCTGCTTTTTAATATATATTGTCTTTTTATTAAAAAAAAAAAACAAGTGAAAAAAGTCAGTACAATATTGTGAACAATGATTTTCAATCAAATCACTATTTCTTAGTGATTAATCATTGGTAGACACCATCAAAGAAGGGACATGTCTTCGAAACTAAATAATACATGATTAGCAAGGTTAAGACTATCTTCAAATAGTCTCAACTCAACAAACAGATAATCATAAGATGCATGAGAAGAAAGAGATGTGTGCTGGTGAACTGCCACGAGGATATCACCAGTACAGAGATCAAATTCATATTTTTTGACATAAAGCAGGGTGATGAAAAAGGCATAGTTAAATAGCTCTAGATCAAATTCATCGTGTGAGTTACTCTTCATTTATTGGAAGCTTATGGCATTGTTGCCAGACCGAATTAAAAATCCACTTCTCTCCTCTGTAATCGAGGCTTCATGATTCACATAAGAAAAGTCGTTTATGCAAGTGACAAGCAAAACTTAAGCCAAACTATTCTTTATTCCAAGCAATACTGAGGGTAAGCATGCACAATGATCCAAACAAAAAAAAAAAAAAAAAATTAAGAACAAGAAGTATTGACAATCACCTGCAACATAAGATTTACAGGACCTTCATTAGCTGTATATGGGAATTCTCCAGTTCCACACTCAAGCAGCGCAAGACCAAGGCTCCATATATCAGCAGGAAAAGAATAGCTATCATTTCGAATTCGCTCAGGTGACATGTATGTAACAGTTCCAACAAAAGTAGCACACTGCAAAATTGCATCCACAGACAAATGAATGTAACTCCACAACTTAGTAGTAGTCACAGCTGAGCATGAAAGCTAACTTTTTAGCTTATAAATGTCAAGGAAGCAATAAAATCACAGAAACTAAGGATCACATAACATCTATACTAACCATTGCCACTGAATTCTCTAAGCCAGCACTGATACCAAAATCAGTAATTTTTGGTTCCCCTTGAGATTTACAAGTAAATTGGCTGGTTTTATGTCTCTGTGTACTAAATGTCTGACTCCATGCAGATAGCTTAACCCCTGCCAGAAGATAAAAGACAAAGTATCACAGCAGTTAGCATTTATATTCTATAATGAAGAAGTTTGAAATGAAAGCATATGCAATTTTTTCTTACATGCAGGAGCTTCTGAAACATGGCTGAAAGAATAGATTCAGGTATTTTTCCATGCACTGCTAGGATATCTGCTAGGGATCCTCCATCCATGTACTCCAAAGCTATGCTTATCTGTCCAGAGTCTGGAGTGTAGAATGCCCCATGGAATTCAACAAGACCTTGGTAACAAGGTGCTTCACATAATGTCCTTATTTCAGTAAGAAGTTGCTGCCTTTTCTCCTAATTGACATGAAGAAACACAATCATTAGACAACAAGGGATTACTTATCCCCATAACCAGCATTGTCATTGTACTTGCATTTTGGAGGTCACTATTTATGTGCAACTCCAGAACACTAACTGACCATGATTTTATTCCTCAGCATTCTTTCTTCCATGAAACAAAAGATTGAATTTTGACAGACAAATATCCAGTAAATACTAAAGTAAATGCTTTACTGATGGTCATAAATGCAAATTTCCTGAGCAAACTCTCTGATGAGTAAAGATAACTTGAATGTTGTAAAAACAACATAGGGAAGTATAGCAAAGTGCCACAAGAATACCTTCTCAAAGATATTGATTTTCTTCAACGCTATAATTCTATGTGTTGGTATATGTATAGCTCTCTGCACAATACTGCTGGCACCACTACCAATTGCTCCAAATATTCTCATCTCATGGGAAGCACATCTATATGTTTTTTCACTGTGATCAGTTTCATCTATAGATCGAGATGTGCATTTTTGCAGTCCAAGCTCGTTGATATTGTACACCCCATATGATTTGCTCAATAAGTTAACAGTTCCACCATCTGATAACTAATTCATC